AATGATTGGAGAATATGTGTTTTTTTTTCGAGTCGATAGCTGGCGCAGAAGCCAATTATTTCCAAATTTGGTATAAAAAAAACAAAAAAAAATCGACCTAAATGAAAATTGGATAATTGAAAAAAATATCAAAGAATCTATGTCAAAACAAGATTCCAACGCTAGTTATATCGTTGGAATCGTATAATTAGTTCAGCCATAATGAATTTTTTTATTTTTTAATTATTAAAAACTTTGACTTTTAATATCATGAATATGTTAATAAAAATTTTTTTTTTACAAAATCCTTTAGGATTTGTGCTAGTGATGTAAAATACCATCAAAAAAATGTATCTACAAACAAAAACTAATTTTGACCTAATTCAGGTGGCCCGTTTGAGAAATTCTGACCCATATACCATAAGTGTTGCCAAGTTTTGGGAATGGATTTATCTTACCAAGGCTTAAAAATTATTGTATTTTTAAATATGTTTTTATAATTAATTTATAAATTATACTTAGCACGTGCTAGGTACATATATACATGTATAAAAATTAATAATCAGATGCAAGTTACTTTTTTAAATTTTATTAAAAACATGTTTTAAATATTTTTTATTTTATTAAGGAAAATAAATATTTATTTTAATTAATTTTAGCATTTTTAGTCCCTTAAGTAAAATCATTAATGACATCCCTTTGATTTAATAATGAATTCATCGTGTGACCCGGGTCATTAAGGATCTCACGTTGCTCATCAAAAGTGCAACACTTATGCGTGCACAGTGACATCACTGAATAAATCAGCAATGATTTCACGTTGATGTCACAACGAATTCATCGTGTGACTCATTAAGGATATCATGTTGCTCATCAAAAGGGGAACACATATGCGTACCTCAGTGACATCACTGAATGAATCAGCAATGATTTCACGTTGATGTCTTAAATGATGTCATAATTGTTATCTGGGATTGGGACCAAGAATGGAATAGCGTACTTTTTACGGATGAGTCCAGGTTTGGCATATTCTCAGATAGCCGACGTACCCGAGTTTGGACAATACCCGGAAGACCCAGAAATGTAAGTGCTGTGCAGGAGGTCCATCCTTTTAGAGGTGGGACAATAATGGTCTGGGGCGGTATTTCTTTGGGTAGGCTATCGGATTTGTTATCTGCGCAAATACCATGAATGGTTTCATTTACGAAAATGACATAATAAACAATATTGTCCAACATTTTCATCAAGAAATAGGTGACCAATTTCAATTTTTGGATGATAATGCAAGACCGCATCGTACACTGCAAGTAAGGCGTGCGATAGAAAATCATGGTATAACGCATTTGCCATTGCCAGCTATGTCACCGGATCTAAATCCGATCGAACATGCCTGGGATATGCTCCAACGAAGCCTAGATAATCACCAACCTAGGCCTGAGACAATACAGGAGCTAACAAGAATATTACCTATTCTTTGGGCTCAAATTCCGCAAGAAATGTTGGATAACCTAGTACAGAGTATGCCAAGACGTTGTCAAGCTGTTATTGATGCTAGAGGTTTACATGTATGTATGTATACATTATATTAAAAATAAAAATAAATTTACTTTTAAATAAGGCAACTTTCTAAAATTTCAAATTAATATATTTTTATATTATAACATTAGGAATAATCTGGTATTTTTTGTATGTTTTGTTTAATTTTAAAGTATTTTACTAAACTAAAAATTAATTCGGTTGTAATTTTACAGGAGGTTCCCTAACTTTTGAACAGCAGTTTATTACGGGAATGTTGTGAACATGTGTAAAATATTATTTTATTTTTGGGTTTATAATTTTTAATTGTTTTTTTAGTTAATTTTTATGGTTGAGTGGAGAGGAGACACTTTAGACACTCTGCCTTTGACAGACTGTCATCTATTCTTTAGTGTTTATTTTTCATAACTATTACGGGAATGTTGTGAACATGTGTAAAATATTATTTTATTTTTGGGTTTATAATTTTTAATTGTTTTTTAGTTAATGTTTATGGTTGAGTGGAGAGGAGACACTTTAGACACTCTGCCTTTGACAGACTGTCATCTATTCTTTAGTGTTATTTTGTATATGGGGCAGTCCACGCCAAATCGGCCAAGAGTGAGACTTCATGTTTCCGATTTGCTTCAAATTTTCAGGGTCGATAAAGGAACTAAAGTAATGGATAAATCTTAAATTTCAACTTCTTTTATGCATTTTTGTAGGTTTTACAAAATAAACAAAAAAAAATGTCACTTCTCTTATTTTTCGATTATTTAAAAACACGAAATACAAAAAATTTCGATAAAATCGTATAAATATATTTTTTGACGCTCTTTAAGATAAAATAAAAATAAAAAAATTTTGTTCAAAAATTCTCAAAAAAATCTAATTTTTTTATTCCCAAAAAACGCCACCTCAAATTTAAACAAAAAAATCATGATGATAGCAAAAACTGTAGAGGTTATGAATTTTTTTTGTAAAGAAATGCATGTCAAATGGTCGCTACAGATCCAAGCCTACGCGTAGCTACGCCGCGGCGCGCGGTTCCGAGAGACGTGCGCTCGGTCTAACGGAGAAAAATTGGTTTAACAATTCTCTCTCTCTCTCTCTCTCTTTCTCTCACACACATTAATATTTTCAAACTAAATTTTATTAAAACTCCAAATTATTTCTTTTTCTAATTTATTAAAAAATAAACAAAATAATCAAATTAAAATATCGTCGATAGTTTAGCAATAACTTCTATTAAGAAAAGCTTAACATATTTAAAAAAATTACTATTACAATAACAATGTTTTAGTTTAATTAGGTATGTTTCTAGGTACTCTTCTAGCTCTCGTTAAAATTTTTTAAGAAAACATAGGTTTTTATTTTAACTAAGAAGGAAAGAGTAATAATAATTATTAATATTTTATTATTTTACTAATAAATTCTTTGACAAATATTGTTCAGTTCAGAGTTTTCATTAATATTTAACCAGTTAAAGACATAAAATAATAATATAAAGATTTTTTAGAAAAATTATGAAGAAAATAGTTAAAAATTAAACTCAAAATGGAATTTTAACACAACCATAAATATATTTTCTACCAGTTTAAATTGTTTAAGTCAATGTAGCTAACTGCGACGTTTCCTGATTCTTACTAAAAAAACGAACCGTAATTCTAAAGTTTACTATCTCCAATAATTAACAAAAAGAAGAAAAAAAATGTAATTAGAGACCTCTGGAAAAGAAAGTGATAAGCCAAAATTTGGCAAAATCTTAAGTTTTCTTAAATACTATAGCCTCGAATTGAACAAATATTAAAACTTAAATTTTAAAAGTTAATAAAATTACTTTTATATTTGGTAAAGTCGCGACTATGGTATTTTAGACATTTAATATTTGTAAAATTCCCTTTTCCCCCAAAGGCTTTCAATTTTAGCTTTAAATTAAAATAATCCATCATTTTGTATAATGCCATTAAGATGCAAAAGCAATGAATATAGTTATAGGTATAACATTAAAATAATTAATTACTTAACATTTTAATAAAATTGGTATTTTATTTATTCAGAAAACTACAGTTAGTTAGAACTATAAAACCAGGGTTCATGATTTGCATATTTTAATTTGCAATAGCTGCAAAATTTTAAAACATCTAGACAAATAACTTTTTCCTTCTTAGTTAAAATAAAAACCTATGTTTTCTTAATTTTTTTAACGAAAGCTAGAAGAGTACCTAGAAAAATACCTAATTAAACAAAAACATTGTTATTGTAATAGTATTTTTTTTTAAATATGTTAAGCTTTTCTTAAGTCGGTTAAAATTTTCTAATTTGCACAGAGAAGTTATTGCTAAACTATCGACGATATTTTAATTTGATTGTTTTGTTTTTTAATAAAAGGATAACGCTTATAGAAAAGGAACCAAGCGCCAAAAACTTTTTCTGGGCTTAAATTAAAATTATTTGTAAAATAACTCATATTTAATGATGCTCAAAAGCTTAATCATCATTTGGAACTTTTCTCAAAAGGATTGAGAAGGTTCCCAAATTATTATTAATTTTTTGAGCAGCATTAAAAATGAGTTATTTTCAAAATAATTTTGTTTACCCCAGAAAAAGTTTTTGGCGCTTGGTTCCTTTTCGATAAACGCTATCCAAATTAGAAAAAAAATAATTTGTAGTTTTAATAAAATATAGTTAGTGAGAGAAAGAGAGAGAATCGTTAAACCATTTTTTCTCCGTAAGACCGAGCGCACGTCTCTCGGAACCGCGCTCCGCGGCGTAGCTACGCGTAGGCTTGGATCTGTGGCGACGATTTCACATGCATTTCTTTACAACAAAATTCATAACTTCTACAGTTTTTGAGTCCCCCCCAAAAATAAGTAGTCAAAATTTGCGGAAAATTTAGGGCTATCATCATGATGATTTAAAAAAAAAATGAGGTGGCGTTTTTTGGAAATTCAAATTTGAAAAAAAAAATAAAATTTTTTTTTGAGAATTTTTGAACAAATTTTTTTTTATTTTTATTTTATTCTAAAGAGCGTCAAAAAATATGTATATATGATTGTTTTCAAAATTTTTTTGTCTTTCGGTGACATTTTTTTTTGTTTATTATGTAAAACCTACAAAAATGCATAAAAGAAGTTGAAATTTAAGATTTCCCCATTACTTTAGTTCGTCGAAAATTTGAAGCAAATCGGAAACATGAAGTCTTACTCTTGAACGAAAACAGTTTGCCAATAAAAGCATTTATTATTATTATTATTATTTACGCCACTGTCTAAACGCGACTTGAACTATAATATTGTAACGGGAAATGAGACTATTGGCAATTGATTTAAGTAATTTAAAAAACGCTCTGAAATTCACCGAGATTAAAATATTAATTTTAATTCCTTTAGGGCATAAATAAAAAACCTTTCACTATAAACTCATTTTCTGCCGTTAGTCCCTTTTATTGTTTAAACATTTATTATCTGAATAAAGGTTTCATCCAAGTAAGTAAAACATGTTTTTATTTTATAAAGTTTATTATAGCAACATGAATTACAAAATGAGAAGAAACCAGAAGTAGTAATTCATAACACTGTCAGGGCTAGTACGTTTTCCCAAACAGTTATGTAAAATAAATTGATTTTGTAGCTTTTGTATACAACATAAGAGGGAGGAAAAATCTTTTTAAACTCAGTAAGACCTAAGCAAACGTGTTTTATTTAATCTAGAAAATAATATAAAAAAGTGTCCTCACAAATTGATTATTTTTTATTTTTTCCATCTTTATCTTCCTTTTTCTTATCTTTGAGGTTTCCGACCGCTTGACGCACAGCTTCTGATTGAGGATCAACCCCAGGTAGATTTTCTAAAACGCTTTGCAAAAATGCCGGATCGCTCATTACCTCTGAGAAATCTTCATCAGCTTCTACTTCCATTGGCTCTTCATCAGCTGTTCCAGGTGCATCCTGCATGGACATTTGCATTGCAAAGGCGATTTGTTCATCCTCAGTCATGTTAGCAAAGTCTACTGGAACCCTTGAAGCTGGTGCTTCGGCACCTTCCTCCATAGACATTGCAAGAGCTTTTTCCAGCAAAGCTTCTTCAGTGGGCTCCTCCTTGACGGGAGCGGCCTTAACCGCCCCAGTCTCGGTTCCGGAAGATTCTTGCGCGCGACGTGCTTCATCCTCTTGGCGTTGACGTTGTTCTTCCATGGACACGCGCAGAGCAAGAGCCAATTCGGGATCTTCGTTGGGATCGACTCCAAATTCGAAACCAGCTCCGCCCAATCCAGCACCGCCGGTACCATCCTCTCCTTGGATGATTGGAGACGAGATTAGGGCGTCGGATAGATGGGGGCCTGGTGGTACAGTCACCAAATGGCTACTGCTGCCATCCTAAAATTAAAACAAAAAACACAGTTGTCAAGAATCTTAGTGACTAATTTTTTTTTGAAATTCTGAAAATTTTGGAAATTCCCATATCAAAAAAGTTGTGAAGAAATAGTGTGACCAGATGAAATGAAAATTTATTTTTTTGAAAAAAGTTGGAGCAAATAACTTTTTTATTTGGAAAAGTTCTTAGAACTAATATTTTTTGTTGAAAAAATTTTAATATAGATATACTTTTTTAAGTTTAGTTTGAATTCTTTTTAAAATTAGTTAAATGCCTTAACACATATTTGCACCAAAAAAAACTAAAATATTTTTGCAAATGTTGCTTTCTGAACTTCAAAATGTTAAAAAAAACAATAAAATGTAATTTTATCAATGTTGACAGTTATAATAATTTAATTTACATATTTAAAAATCGTTCACAATTTTTGCAAATTTTGCTTTCAAAAATAATATGATGAATTTGTAATTATAACTACATTTTTATTCATGCGCCAAAAAGGCCACAATAATAATATTGTAATTTGCTTTTATGCACCAAAATACTTAAAAATATTGTTTAAACATTATTTTTACTGTTGATATGCAGTTTCTGGTTTCATGTGGCAAACAAATTCTTCACCCTGAAGTAATCTAAAACTCATTATTACCTATATTTAAATTAGACAAGTATGTTTTTTTTTTATTTTTTTTTTCAAAAATTGTATGTACTATTGCGGCCGATAAAAAGTAATCGACTAATTTTCCCGTTGTATATATGGTTGTCACCAGTGGCATTTCAAAAATAATTTTATAAAATTAAGTAACGTCATCTTAAATTAAGTAAATCTTAAATTAAGTAAAGTCATTATTTAATTATGCCTTACAATACTTTAAGTGAAGCAGAGAATGGCTATATTATCGCCAAAATTGGAGAAGGATGGTCTCAACAACAAATAGCATATGAAATAAACTGCAGCAAAAGCGCTATTCAAAAATTAAACATAAGTGGGTGGAAACTGGTGACCTGAGTAGGGTAATGGGTTCTGGGCGTCCAAGAAAGACAACTCCAGTAAACGAAAACGAGTTGTGAGGCAAAACCCATTTTCTAACTCCATTCAAGCCAAAGAGGAAACCAACTTCCCAGCATCTGTTAGGACGGCAAGAAACCGGTTGCGAGAACAAGGTTTATTTAACTGCGTGAGTGCTAAAATGCCTCGCTTGACGGATGTTAATAAAGAGGCAAGAGTGGAGTTTGCAAATAATGTTTTAAATCAAAACGCTGAATATTGGGAGCGAGTAGTCTTTTCAGATGAAAAAATATTTCAATCCTGCTACAATGGGCAACTGCGAGTTTATCGTCCCAGAAACCATAAGTTTGATGAAGAATACCTCCACAAAACTGACAACAGCGGAAGATTTTCTGTCCCCGTGTGGGCCTGGATATCATCTTCAGGGGCTGGTATAATTCATATTGTAGAAGGCCGATTAATTGGGAACCGATACGTGGAAATTTTAAACGATGTAATGCTCCCGTCAGTGCAAGAAAGATTTGATAATGATTTTGTATTTCAACACGTAACACTTTATGATTTATTTTTCCTGATCAAAAAAATATTTTTTTTTCATTTTAAGGATAACTCGCCAGTTCACACTGCTCATGTGGTTCATAATTGGCTAGAAGAAAATCTCATTGCAACGCTTCCTTGGCCGTCAAGAAGCCCCGATTTAAACCCAATCGAAAATATTTGGGGATATCTCGTAAAAAAATATATAAATATGAATTTAGACCAAGAAATAGAGAAGACCTTATTAATGCAATTCAAAATGAGTGGAACAATTTGGAAGAAAATTACGATATGCAAAATTTAATTAGTTCCATGCCTAGGAGATTACAAAATGTTATAGAGAAGAATGGTGGTTCTACCAAGTATTAATTATTTTTTTTTTAATGGACTTTTTATAGCATTACAAATGTCTTAGATTATGTAAGATAATGCCCGAGGGAAGGCTGAATGAAAAAATTGCCATGGCCGGTTTTTCTGAGCGCATCCAACCACGGTTGGCTCATCTTTTATAATTGTTATAGTCGTAGTATTATACTATAATACTATTTCTTTTCAAGTTTAAATTTCTTTATTTTGGTCGCCCAATAAATAATTTGTTCTTTTTGTTTGTATTACGAATAAACATGCTTTATATAATTTAAGTTTTTTTATTAAAAAAATTAAATATGTCATACACCTATGATTTCTTGTCAAAATAATTTAATTGACATGACTGACATAAAAAACCCTACTTACAATAGCCAATTTTTAAGAAAAACATGCAAATTGATAAAGAATCGATTACTTTTTATCGGCCGCATTGGTACACTTTAAAAAACAAAAAATCATAAGTCTAATTCAACAAATGTAGTCGTGTTTTTAAGAGCTCTGGGAATTTAGTCTTTATTTAATTAATTTAAAATTATGAGTGACTTTGGTGATGATCATACTGGCAGTGATATGGAATGGGTCATAGAAGAAGGTGTGAAGAAACGGAAACGCAAAAGATCTAAGGAAGAATCTAATAAAAGAATATCATTAAGTGAATCGGAAAAGGATAAAATACGCGAAATTGTCAGGGCGCAAAAAACACAGGGCAACAAAAAAAACCGGTAACAAAAAAAAACTACACTACACAATAATGAAAACAACATAAATCAATCTACAGGGTGCCCCCCTAATAATAAAACTAATACAGAAATCTCTAAAAATCCACAAAACTCTAATGCATCAAATTATCAATACTCTTTACCTAATACTTCAAATTTACAACATTCCTCACCTAACAAAATAAACAACTATTTTCTAAAAATGAACCAAACCAAAACCAAACAGAAACTACATTAACACTATTTTTGTCACAACAAGTGAAAATCTCACAAGAATCCAATTCTCAGATATCTGGACATTACTAGGAGAGGCGAAAAACGATGTTGTTATTAAAACTAAAAAAGGTTTTATTTTAAAATCTGACAGATCAATGGTGATTCTAAAGGCAGCATTACAAAAATTAATGAATCAAAGTATCATAAAAAGTTTTGAAAACAGCAAAGCCAAGGAAAATCACGAACCCCGTAGTAACTTTACCGCAGTAATCTCTTCAGTGGAATATGAAATAAAGGATGAAGAAATTAGTGAATGTCTAAAAGACTCCTCAATAAACTTTAGATACTGCAAAAGAATAACTTCAAGAGCTACAGGTAAAGTTACTAATTTAATTAGAATAATCACAGAATGTATTAAATCTTATGAAAAACTTCTTAATGAGGGCATTTTCTTAAAAAATAGACATTATGCTGTATATACAAGCCTACCTCCCTCACCTCTACCAATTCCATGCAACAATTGCTCCCAGTTCACACACACAACCAATAGCTGTAAAGAAAAAACTATCTGTACTAAATGTCAAGGAAATCACAATTTAAACTCCTGTCAAACAACTCTCCCCCCAAAATGTTTAGCGTGTAACTCAACCGAACACACTGCCTGGTCTATGGCATGCCCAAAAAGGCCTACTAATCCCATTGACGGCATACCCAATATTACAATTGGACGGCTTTCTGCAGAATGGGACCAACCCACACCATGATGAAACAGAGAAAAAAGCTATCAAAGATTTTAATAATTTTAAAATTACCTGTTAATTTTATGCCGATTTTGGACTTACGGAGGTTTAAGGGATATAATTTAATAGTTTCATCAGGTGGATTTTGTGAGGTTATGTGTAAGGGGTGTAATGGGCTTTTGTTGGTTGGTTCCTTTCTGCAATTTATGAAAACTACTATCGGATGTATGTATGTATTTAAAGAAAAGCGACAATTATTTATTTCAAAACAAAATACAACTGATATTACTATTATAATGGTAATATGAATTAATTTTGATTCAATTGAAATTCGTCCACATCATCTTCCAACCCCACCTTATCTTGTAAGCTACCAAAAAAATGCATCAAGACTTTATATTTTGCAGAAGCAGGAAATCTTTAAAGACTTTGGTAGTGGGTCTACCAGCCTGCTTTTTTACAAAAATGATCCAACCCACTTGCAGATATTCTACAGATTCTAATTCTGGATTAGTAATCCACACGTGTAATATATTATTGAATGTTGGTTGGTTCAATGATTAATAGATTTCACTACACTTGTATTTTGGCTATGGCCTATTTTGCAGATAAATTATACATACTTAATTAGTTCATAGGCTAAATTTCTCGATTTTTTTGGTTTTGTGGGTTGGTTCCTTTCTGCAGAAAGGCGTCCAATTAAGTCTAATAATAAAAGATCAGATGAATTAGAAGTTAAAACTAGGAAAGAAAGCAGAATCCATAACACATATACAACACAGGATCTAATAATTGATACAGACTGTGTATTTTCTGGTAACAGGCTGTATGTTTTAATGTTTGATCTAGATCAACCAAACTCTGGCACACCTACTGAACCTAAAGAAGGCACTCAATATACAACTAACCAAGATCCATCAATACCTGGAACTAGCATTCAATCTTAAATTCTTATATTCAAACATCAATAGTTTTAACAGGAAAAAACAATTAATCTATAATTACTTACAAAAAATATATACAATGCTCTTTGTTTAAATTAAAGGAAGACATCAGTCCATTTAGAGATTGGTCCATTATTCAAAAAAAAGGTAATATATAGAGCTGTCAAGTAATTGAATTAAAAGAATTGAAAATATAATTGAATTACTTTTCAGTAATTGAATTACTTTAATTCAATTATATTTTTAAAACCTTAAAAGTAATTGGTGCTTCAATTACTGTCTAGAAAGTAATTGTAATTGGTAATTGTTTTTAAGATATTTGAGTAATTAAATTATTTTTTAAATAATTCAATTCCTTTATAGTAATTCAATTCCTTTATTGTATTTCAATTACCACAAAATATTTAATTCCTATTTAAAAACTAGTACGTACCTACTAATTTTTAAATGGGAGTTGAACGTACGTTG